AAAAAAAAAAAAAAAGATGTGATGTTGGAACTCACACACGCTGAGAGAGGTCCACTCTGCCAATAATGTACAGCAATGTGAACTGGACATAGAAAGTAAGATAGATAGACAGAGAGGCTCACACATAAATACGCTGACAGACAACTCACAGGCTCTTCGAGACATGAAGGCAAACAAGAGTGGGATGTCAGCGAATAGCGGTGGCCTGGTCCCAAAGGTGGAGAAAGTAGAGCCCGTGCACAGTGGGAGCGAGGGGTTGCAGGCCAGGTCTGCCACCCGCCTGCGTGCCCGCAGCGGTAGTGGTAGTGGCAGTGGCAATTGTGGTGGTGGTGGTGGTGGTAGCGGCTTCCGTTGAGGTTGATGCTGTGCACTTCTCCTTTGCCGGCTTGGTGGGAGCCGCAGCAGCCCCCGCCGCCGCTTCTGTCGTCTTACAAAGGCAGACATCGTCTCCGCCACGTGAGTCTACACGCTGTGGCTGCGGTAGTGGTGGCGGCGTCATCGCCTCAAAGGCCTCACCACACGACACACACGTGTCCGGCAGACCCGTCATGACGTCACGAGCGGCGCATGTCCCACACGCAGGGCAAAAGTACGCCGTGACAGGCTTCACCAGTTGTGTCACAACGACCTCCACTCTGTCGGGCTCGTGCAACACAGCACAGCCCCCACCGCCGCTACCACCACTGTTTCTTCCGCTGTTGCTACCGAGGCATTGAGAACTACTGCAGCCCTCACCTTTTCGCCCCTCCCCTTCATTGTATGTGCGCTGCGCCAAAACGGCGTGGCGGATCCGTTTAGCGATGGTGCTGGCGCCACTCACCGCAACTGCCGTTCCCTCTCTGGCGAGCTGGGGGGCCCTGCCGTTGCGCGTCCCTGTACTGCCGCCAGCGCCACTGCCACGACTGTGCAACACACGTTCTAGAGGCTGCAACATGCCACGTTCAGGTGGGCCACAGGAGTTGACGCGCCGACCTCCGCCTTCTTGGCCCGTCTTGAGGAGGGCTGACTTTAACGGATCATCTTTTGGGTTGTACGCGTAGAGCCGGTCGCAAAGTTCCTTGTCGAAACTTATTTCATTCACCACTGCGGTTGTTGCTGTAGCCGTGGTCGACGATACTGTGCGCCCCGACGGCACCACGTCGCTCTTCAAGCAATCGCTCACTCCATCCACCAACGATGTTGCTGTTGGCGGCAAGCGTGGTGCCGGGGTGCTTGCAATGCATGTGCTACGCACCCGCAGAGGCGCGCCATGCTCGTCCCACTCAACGATCACGCCGCCACACATTTCCTTCTCCACCTCCTCCACCTCCTCATTGGGAGCGCTGCAGTCCGTCACCGCGGCGAGGAGGGCCGGGTAGAGTGTGCGCTCCGCCTGCGCCACCCGCTGCGCCACGTCCTCCACCCCCCCTTCTTCCTCATCAGTGTTGCTGCAGCTTGTTGCCGTGGTAGCGGTGGTAGTGGTGGTGCAGGCTCCGGGGTTTTCGGGTGCCTCGAGCGGCACCGTGTACGCGCCCTCGTACCACGGCGGAAGTGTCTCCGATGGCTCATCGCTGCAGCCGACGGACTTTGAAGTCGCGAAAATCCGCGCCGCCATCGAGACATTCATTCCTGGACGCGGCGGTGACGACGGAGATGCCCGCTGCTGCTGCTGCTGCCTCTGCCGTTCGTTCTGGGCATGGACGTCTTCGAGAATCATGGAACGGCGCAGTTCGTCGCGCGTGGCGCGGGACTCTTGTCGGCCTTCCTGCCGCAGCGACGCCAAGTCAGCATCAAAATCCCGGAGCCCCAGCTGCCGTCTTCTGTACATCACAGAGAGCGCCCGCGCAGAAACAATGCCCCGTAATCTTTTGACGCTTCACAGGGACCGTGGAGGTATATCTATCAACTGTATCGCATATGGGGGCACGCTTGCAGGCCCCCCGACAGTTCCTTTCTCATTGGCGCGTGTGACACACATACACACACACACACACAAAGCAAACAGAGAGGGTGAGAAATACACACAGACGTGCATGGATGCAAACACATCCACAGCGGATGAGTAAGCGAGTGGAGAAGCGAGAGACGGAGAGAAGACTCTGAATCCAAATAGCTCAAAAAAAAAAGAAGAAATGCGGTTCCGATTGCCAAACGCCGCGAGTCTGGTGGCAAGAAAAAAAAAAAGAAAACAAACAACGGACTGACGGAAAAGAACACCAACACAATCATCAACAGCACAAAGCGCGAGGCATCGAGTCCTGCAGAGGCACAACCCCCTCCACTGCGGCAAATCCTCATCCCGGCACGCATCGACCATTAATTCATATGGATGCACACCCACAGCTCACACTCATCGTCGCACATATCAAAGGGGAGTGTGTCCTTTCGCGGTGCGTGGCGTCTCACGCCACGCGTGAACCATACGTGACAAGGCGCACAGGTGCACCGTGAACAACAAACAAAGGAAGAAAGGGCACCAACACGGCACGATGGTGTGCATACATACGATCCATACTTATTGCTCCGATGTCACAAGCCCCCTCACCACCGGTCCACACGTGGTACCGAAAGCCGTGCGTCCTCGGAAATGTACAGTACCACCGGTAGCCAAGCGACGTAGTTAGTCAACTCGCGCCTCTCTGGAGGCACGAGATCATTCACAAATGGCTTCCCCGACATCACTCTCGGACGCGCCTACCCTATTGCGTCAGGCGCTACTTCGTAGTACGGGTAGAAGAAGCCCTCTCGTGTCTGCCTGGTGATGCTGTCAATGGGAAAGTAGCGCTTGACGTCGTTGACCTCCTTCTTGGAGTCGGTTAGGACATTAAGCATGCGGTATTAGCCCTCCTGCTGCTGCTGCTGCTGCAGGCCCAACAGAAAGATGTAGCACCGCTCGCCTTTATCGGGCAGCAGGAACTCGGCGCACGCCTGAGAGCAACCCCACGACTTCATCATGCTCACCAAAGCGCATTAGTCTGCTTCTTTTCTGTCTAATATATATATATATATATAGACCTATCTGTGGGAGTAAGTTTCTCTATCGCCCTTTCAGCGCCACCCTTGTCAAAACCTTCGAATCCTTTGTAGCGCAGGCAAAATAACATGAACGACAAAAGTGTGCCGGGGCAATTGGGCCAACCATTTTATTCAGAAGGAAACTCTGGTTCCGTCATTCTTTCGTCTTGTGTCCTTTTTTTTGTGGATTCCTTTCCCTGTTACGCGGCTCAAGTACACTGAGAACTCATCTCTTTCTCTCTCTCTCTCTCGCCCGAGCCTTTTCACCTGCAAAACGAAGCTGGTGGCAGCAATGCCTAATTGTCACTGTCTCCACTCGTTCTTGCATCGGCGTCACGTGCGTGCTGCGCCGTTGTTCCCGCCTCCGCTGCTTCAGCTGCTGCCGCTGCTGTCTCGGCCCTCTTCTTTGGATGGATTGTCTTCTTTCCCCCCTCTTGCAGCGTACGCTTGTAGCGGTTCATGCGTCGCAGGACTGTCTTTGTGGGCGGCACAATGTTGTGAAGGGGCCTCCGCTTCGCCACGGGCTCGAGCGGATTCGGTATCTCCTCTGTTGGTGTGAGGGAGTCAACACGACCGCTGCGCACGAAGTACATGTAGCCACTGTAAGGCAAATTACTCTTCTGTGACCACCACTTCATTGGCCGCGCGCTCGGTGCGTCGTCGAAGACGTAGTGATCGACACCCTGGTGCAGGTTGTACTCGAACAGCACCAGCGGTGCGCCGCCAACGAACGGCGAGCCGACTGTCCCACCTGTCGGGTACGCCATCTGCTGCTGGTGCTGATGTGCCTCGCCGCCAATAACGGCAGGTCGCGACATCTGCAGTTTGAACGGCAAGTCGGCCTCGAGCGGAACGTACGGCGGTGGTGTGCGTGTGGCCCAACTCACCGGAAGCAAGGTTTCCATCTCCGCCGCCTCGTCCTCGCAGCTCTTCTTGTCGCTCGACACGGGTGTCACGAGTCGGCATCGAAGGGCGGACGCATGCGCAAGCTGATGCACTGCATCGAGCGCCGTCATCGCGGGGGCCTCAAACTCACCCAAGTAGAGGCGTTCCTGCTGTGCCACCTGCGAGGAGGCAACGATGCCAACCGCCTCCGCCCCACCGGCGCCGTTAGCGAAGAAGTGCATGTGTGGAGCGAGCAGAAAGACGTCACACTCATGGCGCTTGCCCACCGCATGCGGGGCGGCCAGGTCATACGCGAAGGCACCAAGCTGGCTCTGCAGTGCGCCAATGCGGCGTGACCGCTGCCAGAGCATTGGCTTGCGCTGGAACCACGTGCCGTAACCCTCCACCTGTGACACCGCCACCACGCCGCGGGCGACGTTTGGCTTCTGGAAGTCGAAGACGCAGCGCGTATGACCACCCGGCCCTGTTTGCACATCGAGCACGTCCATTGCATCGAGAGGGCCGACGTGCACAATGTCTGTACGCAGCCGCTCGCCGCGAATACCAAAGGAGCAGGTCACAAAGGACTGTTCCACAATGCCCTTCGGGTGCAGCACACTGTGCTGGGCGTGATGCAGCAAGTACACACCGTGCCCCTTCTGCACAATGTGCCGCAGCGAGAAGTTGACGTGCCGCGCCATGCACTCCAGCGTGACCAGCTTGTTGTGATCAATCACCACGCGGCCGCGGTAATCGCTGCTGGCCTCATCGGCAAAGGGCGGAGTTGGATCACTCGGTGGAGACGACACAGCAGCAGGAGCAGCAACTGCACCTGCAGGATCTTTCCCCGTCTTCTCCTTTCCCTCGGCAGTTTCATGTGCGTCGGCCTCGGCGGGGCGAGGCGGGCGAAGCACCACTGATGGCAGCAGTATCGGTGACCACTGGGGGTCGTCGAACTTATACGTCGCCACGTACGTATTTATCTTGTTCATATTCTTGCTGCGCCGTAGTGACGCAACGCAGAGCTCCTCCGGCCCCCGCACCCAACGACGCGGGTTGACAATGCCTCCACCCTGTGGGCATGGGTACTCCTTTGCCAGGCCACGCAGTTTCACGTGGCAACTCGACGAGGGATGTCGTTCGTCGTGCGTCATGTCTGTGGGCGTCTGAAGCAACGGCACTGTGGCGTGCGGCTGGGCGAGTGCCATCGGGTACGTCAAGAGCCGCAACCGCTCAGTGCTGGGGCGGCGCACCGACGACAGAAACCGCACCTGCTGCCTCATTCCGGTAACTTACGCTCTATGTATATGTGCGGGTGTGTGCACAAGTATGTCGCCACTTTCCCTTCTGCCGTTGCTGCTGTTAAACCGTCCAGCTGGTAACAGAGCGCCCTCCCTCCCACTACCTACCGACAGAAGCACATACACACACAGATACAAAGGGGAGATGAAGGAAAGCGCACGCCACGCAAAGAACCGCCAGACATATGGATACCCCCGGAAAAGAACTAATATGCATACACGCACACGCACAGACATATATATATATATATACAAATAAATAAACACACGCATGAAGGTATATATGCGGCATAACAGAAGCATCCACCCAAAAAAGCCAACACGTTGAACATCTTGCAACAAAGATGTGCACAAGTACCATTTACTCCGCGCTTCACTCGTCGCCCACAGGAAGGCACCCAAAAAGAAAAACGTGTTCAATGAAAAAAAAAGCAAACACACACATCCACAGAGAGACAGAAACAAATCAATAGGGAAATGGGACAGAAATTATCAATGTCTCGCTCCATTCACGTGCTGTGTAGGAAGGCACATAAAAAGAAGAGACAATTTACTCAGTTGAAAATAAGAAAGAAATTACTACATTCCAAATGTGGATGATCAACGCTCCAGTCACAACCAGCACACCCCTTAATCTCAACAAGTGGCGGATTAAATAGTACATCTACATACGCATCAAGAACGCATATCAGAGAGAGCACAATGTATATATGTATGTGAGTGGGTGAGTGAGTATATACGTATATATGTGCGTGTGTGCCTGTGGGCGATTCATCGTGTTGCAAAACATACATTCATGGCGCATCACAGCGCCCTCTCTGCGCATATATATATATATATATCAACGCACCGCGAATTTACGCATCAAATGCGGTTTCGTCCTTCCTTATATGCCCTTTTGAGGCGGGAAGCCAGCATGAACGATCCACCCCTTCCGTTCCGTCGCCACAAGAGCGAGAATCACACCAAGAACTAACTCCATGCAGGCGCAGCATACCACATGCGCCCAGAAACAACAAAGATAGGACCGTTCTGCTACAATCTCCCTTCGCCAATCACATTGATCAAACAAACAAACAAAACATGCGTTCACCATGCAGCCATGCAAAGCAGCTGCAGCAGTATTCATAGAAACAAGATGACATAAAAAGGGAAAAATACGGGCGCTCTCCCCCCACTCACAGGTACGTAGAGAGCTGGACAATACATACGTGCATTCCATACATAAAACGAACAACTTCAATTCTCCCTTATTCAGCAAAACCGTTTCAGTGCCTGTTTGCTTTTTTTTCTCACTACAGCTTCGAAAACCAAAGCCAAACTCTCACTTTTGGGGGGTAAATATGTTTCTATACCCAAAGCGGCGGGGGAGACGCTCACAGGAATTAACGGAGCGCAGATACATGCGCTGATTGCCCGTGCTGCTGCCAAGAAAGGGAAAACTCCCCTCGCAGAGATGTATCAAATAAACAACAAACAAATAACCGAAGCAACAGCAAAAATAAAACAACGCTGAGATGGGACCACATACCACGTGCATTACATCATAGGGATGGGTCACCTATAAAAATAAACATCACGGGGGGAAAACGTGCGCTTAATCTATATTTCATATTCCATTTTTTATTTTTTTTTAGTTTCTTTTCTCTCCTCTCTCTCTCTCTCTATATATATATATATATATGTTTCTTTGGGACCTCTCCCCCACTTCGGACACCCTTGTGGAAAGAGAAGCATCATTCCTCGCCTCTTTATCTGTTTTTTTTTTTTTGGTGCTTTGCCCCTTTTCTTGCGTTTTCTCGAAAAATAGACTTTCCTCGTTTTGGTGGGTAGAAATCCAGACGGCCCGCTGCGGAGCCCCTCCTACAAGCCCTTTGATTTTCTCCACGGCCTCATGTTTGGCCGTGTTGATTTTTTTTTCTTTTTTATCTCTTTTGTTTTAATCACCTTCCCTCTCCTTTCGCATTGCAACAATTCGCGGCTTCAACTCGCACCACGCCGCCCTTTGCTGCTGCTGCCGCCGCGGCGTTGCGAGCAGGGGGAAGACCACCTGCGAGCCGGACCCCCGCACGCGCCACACACGCCCCATTCCCACCCACGCTGGACCCATCGCTGGCTCAGCGCCAGCGGCAGCGGCACTCGCAGGCTCCTCCGCCGGTTGTCTTCCACGCTCTGCAACGTTTTTGAAGTCTTCGTTGACGCCAATGAAGCCACGCGGCGCGGCCTTCATCAATGTCCCACTGTCGCGGGCGGCACAGCCGTAAAGCACAAAGGAGACCCGATACGAACCAAGCAGCACCCCATACGCGCTTCCCACGCACGCCACTCCCGTAATGCAAATACCATTTTTCTTCATGGGACCGTGTGCCTCAACCTTCTCGACCCGTCTTTCTTTACCCGCAAGGTGCTGTTCTTGCTGTTGATGTTGGTGGCGATTCTGGTCACTCACAGCAGGGCTGTTTTCACGCGTTGACAGCGCTTCTTTTGCCAAGTCGCACTGCCATACTTCCTGCAGCACGCTCACAATGCAGAGGGCCGCTTCCTGCAGTACCATCTCCTGCATGTACGTCGGATAGTTGCTTCCGTCGTCTAGGGGACCCGCTAGCAGCCACGTTGCCTCCGTCATGTACATCTTCCCGACAAGGCGATCAAGCGCAAAATTTTCATGGATGTACCTCTGCTGCTTCTCGTCGCAGACGCCCTCCTTCGCCATACGTGCGCACAGCTTCCTTTTTATCGCACTGCCATGACGCGCGTTGCAGCGGTTGAGGATACCCTCCAGCGAGAAGCCAATCCCCTCAACAAAGTCAAGGGCAGCAGAAACATCGTTCATACTGTACGACAACTCCAGTGCCCCGCATGCTTTTATACGGCACACACAGAGCTCCGAGTAGCGCTGAGCGTACACCATGTCGGGCGGCACCAGCCTCAGACACATTGCTACCGCCACCTCCACCACGTGACGCGGAAACAGACCGCAGAGCTGTCGCTGCTGAAGCGAGACCTCGTCCTCAGCGGCACGGTGCAGCGCCTTGCTGAAGACTGCCAGCTCAAACAACGCCCGCATATGCATTCCACGACGAAACACTGTCACAATAAACCCAACACCAAGTGCAGACCACATCAAGAAGAATGTTTTAGTGTGCGCGACAGAGCTGTACAGGTGGCAGGAACCAAATACCACCAAAAGACCGGAGATCAGAACAAAGAACGCATTCCGTTTCCACCCCCTAAACAGCAGTCGAAGCACCAGCAGAAGGATAAGGAATATATATTGCAAGTCGTTGTTCGCGCAGCTGAATGCTGCGAAGAGGAAGAAAAGGAACATCACGACAAGTTCCACAAGCAAGACGAGGAACGAGAGGTAACTTGGTACAGCGTGCAGGAAAAGGAACACAACCATCCGAATGAGACCGCAGAAGACGCCAGCAAAACCCAATAAAAAGCCAACCAGATGGAACTCCCTGCGTCGCCAGTCTACCGATACACCCGACCCCAACAAGTGAACATCGGCGCTCACATAGTACACTGGAACGCTCATAAGCATAGTGGACAGAAAGATGAAGGCGAAGAACACGCTCAGAAACAGATGACCAAAGAAAGTAGTCCCCACTTCGTAACGGTGTGTAAAGTTGTTGAAGGCCTTTTCGATGGTACGATTTTCATACTCCTGCTGCCATATTGCTCGCTCCTTGGTCCCCCGTAAATGAGACAGCATGTTGCGGTGGAGCCCATGGCTAAATAGCGAATTCTCCGCACCTTCATCAGAGACCCTCTCCCTATTCTCCTTCGTGGTAGAGGAAGAAATGTTATTGTGTGAGCCCATCATAGGCTCACCCTCTCCAGGATTGCCGTCAGCACCCTTACCGTTCTTGTATATTTTCAACGGGCTCTGTGTCTCTCTGCACTCTTCTGACGGGGGTAGGAAGGTGGTGAATGCATTTTGCTCCCCCACAGGCACCAAGCGTGATGACACGGGCAGCTCTGTCGAATTTGGCGTAACAGCCTCTTCTACCCCATCCACATGCCTTTGCATTTGCCACGTCGTCAGCGGGTTCACGTTCCCTTCATCCTTGGCTATCATAACCACAGCCGCATCCATTGGCATAGAAGGGTGCATTACTTCGGTATCAGGTTGCCACCAACGACGACACAGAGCTGAAATCAATGTCTTGTGCGCCGTCTCAGCCTGTCCCCATCTCTGCGTGAAAAACTCAAGCGCATTTTCAATATATGTCTGCTGCGCACCGTCCTTCAGTCTGCTGCTCACGAATGCGTGGTAACGCACCGAATTATAGTGCCTCGATGATGGCGGTCCATTGTCCTTCACGTAGCACCACCTATCACCTTGAACACCACCGTCATCTACTATCTCGTTGTAGGGCAACTCTCCATTCGTTGCCATCATATGGTCATCCTGTATATCGTTTCTGTCGCCGGTATCAGCACCGGCACAAAAAGCTGAAACCGTGGAACTGGCACGACGTGACGGATATGCTGAGACTCCACTGACGCAGTGGCACATGACACGTTTGCTGTCAGCCTTTACTTCGCCCCAGCGGATATCATCAAACGCATTCTTGTACAGACGCTTAGCAGCTTCCGTGCACACCACGGTGTCAGATGGGGCTTGGTGAAGAACGTCCACGAGAACGCGCGGGCATTCACCAAGGACGGTGTATGTGAAGTTCTGCTGGTCGCCCAACATCGCGCCCACCATGGCGCCGTGGTGGACGCACACCTTCAACTGAAGCGGCGTGCCGCAGTCTAGCAACTCGTTGAGTCTTTGCGCCGAGCCCAGCATCAGCAACGCCGCCTTCACGACCGCAACACAGGCTTCATGGGGATCCCAATTCGATTGCAGGCCCGCGGAGAACATATAACGATCGCCGACTACTCCAGTTTTCTCCACATTACACATACGCACAGCGTCATCGAAGGCAGCGTAGAGCGCTATCATGGAGTCCACCAGATGATTCGGCAGCTGTGTGTTGCTCCACACGGCGAAGTCGTAGATCTCAACAACACCAAGCGTCCCAGCAGGCGTGGAGTCAAAGGACGGGATGCGCCGCGGTACACGCATCAAGGCAGTTCTGGGCAGCATGAACTCCATCGTACGCTCGACGCCATGACGGATGCGGGCCACGCGTAAGGCGTCGGTGCGCAGAACGACGGCGTCACGGAAGACGCAACGGAGTCGACCCTCCACCACAAGCACCAGAATGATGCAGAACACCGTAATGAGCGTGACAAGCGTGGGGCGAAAGAATCCCTCTGTGTAGTCCACATAGGTTGGCTGTACGACACCGATGAAGGTGAACATGAAAATCGGTGTCAGCGCGAGAATCGGAACAATTATAATGGCGCGGCAGCGAACAACAGCGGCAAATATCACAGCCGGCATCAAGAACACAGCGGGAATGGTGTCGACGCACATGGCATTCTTCGGAAACACAGCGGTCGCGACGCTGCCCATGTTCGAATGGTCACACGGTCCGACGAGGGCGTAATGTGTCATGCCACCCAGAAGCGCCAGAAACAGGCAAAGGCAGCAGCCAATCTCGTGCACATCGTTTGATGTCAAGCCCTGACGTCGCGCTTTTGGTGTGGCCTGCTCCCTTTTGGGGTGCTTCAACATGCTTCTGCGCCCCATAAACATCACTTCCATGACGACAGCAAGGACGAACTCCGACACACAGATGAACAGGAGCAATATGCCGGTCCAGCTCTCCAACCCATCGCGGGATGACGCCAGCAGCATTGCGTACAGAGCAGCGATGGTGGCGGCCATGAACGGAAGCATCTGTCCCCCTGCCGCGTAAATATAGGAGCGGAATTCGGCCTCAACAGCGGTTTCACGAAAGAGGAAGCCGCACCAGTTTGTTGCGAACAGACGCGCTGCTTCCTCCTTGGTGATGCATGCGAGCTCGACCATATCGAGTGCGCCTTTGCGCCGGATGTAGTTGGCGACGTGGTGGCGGTACTTCTCCGGCCACGATGCCTTCGCAAGGTCGTCGAACAACTCACTGACACAGTTTCGCGAGATAGCACTCCACGAGCCCAACTCAAGGTCGTCCAACGCCGCATCGACGTCTGGCCGGTCCGGTAGATGCCACAGCTCGTACATCTGTAACGCTGCGCGCTGGTGCGTGTTGCAACGCCGCCTCGGCTTGCCATGGTGCAAACTGTCGGTTGTGGGTGTTGCAACAGTCGGCGCCACCATGTCCAACTGCTCGCAGTCCGTCACGACGCGGTCTACGGGGTAGCGCGGGTCGAACTGTGACTTCATCTGCAGTACGTCCTTCTCGCACCCCGCGAGTGCCATGCGGCGGCCCCGCCGCACGCCGCGCGGCACCTCCTGCACGTGGGCTGCACGCCCGCACAATAGCGGCTTGGAACCGTTTTCGGCTTTACACGGCGGTGGCAATCTGGTGATGTCCACCAGGAAAGGCGACACATCCTTGCACTGTCTTACCTCCCAGTGGATGCCCCTATTGTCAGTTTCGCTGCTGTCATCATTATCATTATTATTATTAGCTGTGATGTCCCTGCTTCTAGAGCTGCGCCTCGTGATCCTCCTGTCGGTGTCGGCGGAAAGAGGAACAGAAGGTCCGTAGGATTCCCTTGGCGTTGTCTCACCGAGGGTCGCTATGTGATTGCCGGCCTCATTCCTGTCACCCTCCGCCGCAACAACTGGTGTGGATGTGCCGCATGAAAAAAAACTCCATATATTCGCAATTGCTTTCTTCATGGCCCAGGAACTACTTCAAAATATGCAGAGCCGCACCTTTGAATGCTATTTCACCACGCCCCGACGTGTGCTACTGTTTATCCTGCTGTTGCTGATTACTAGCTAAGCTCAAACCTATATGTCTGAATAATTTTCTTCACAATTCGCATTATCTGTCCACCGCGCGCGGTGGTGTGCAAAAGCCCAATGAGACCCAAGAACTGGTGTTGAATGCGAATCTTGCCTGTCGCTTTGTATGGGAGAGTTTTCGGCTGCTCCTACACTAAAATGAGGAGAAGACACGAAACCCACGCACCCCCTAGTTCTATCACAGGACCTACGCAATATCAAATAGCACAGGTGAGATCGGGGTGGGTGGGAGAGTAAAAAAAAGGGGGAGAAAAAGAGCAGCGACAATTATAATAGCCATCGTGCTGTTGCAGGTGCCACCCGCACATCTGTTGGCAGCTGTGACGCAGGCTCACGGCTTGGATTGAACAGTCCAAGGGGAGCGTGGGGGAGGAAAGAAAAGGGTCATAAAGAAGTTCCTGATACACACACATCCACAGACACACTGTGTCGAAAGAAATAGGGAAAAGAGAAGCAACCGAGCTTAATTGTTGTTTCACCTCTTCTGCATTCCTGTCTCTTAGGTGCGGCCCTCTCCCTTTCCCATCCTCTCGGCGCACTAACTGCGTGCACATCAGTGTGCATGCAACAACCACTCCCCTACGTGTTTCCTCTTCCGTCTCAGCCTTGGTGCTCATTTCTGTCTTTCTTTCTTTTTTTTTCCTCTCCTCTCCGTTCATCTTTCCCTCATCCCTCCCCCTTTCACGGTGGGGGCGTGGTGGGGTCTTGACAACTACAGAGCCCCACGAAGTGCAGAATGGCACAGCAACCATTATCATCATCATCAGCAGCAGCAGCAGCAACAAAAGGGGCCCCAAAACAGCGGACAAATCTCTCATTCTGGATTCTACCGCATCTTTGCTGCTGCTGCTGCTGCTGTTGCCATTGCTCGCCTCCCCGCACCACCCACCCCATTCGTCCTAACACTACGACCAGAGAGTGCTACCTAATAGCACACTTGTCATTTCCGTCCTACTCAATCTTGATGTCGAAGAGGCCGACCTGCTTCGACAGGTGACCCGGGTGCTCCTTG